GGACCAACCATTGGCCTTGACCGAGCATTACAGATTATGGCCCCACCCCCTCCCTACCCGCCTCTCCCTCTCCCTCTTCTCCCCCTCCCCCTCCCTCTTCGCTTCTCCCACCCTCCCTCTTCTCTTCCCCCCCTCCCGCTCCCGCTTCCCACTCTCCCCCTCCCGCTTCCCCCTCTCCCCCCTTTCCCTCCCACTCTCCCCGTCTCCTCCCTCCCTGAAAGTGATTTTTTTCCATTCTATCTCTTGTCTCGTAAACAAACGAGAAGCCTAACGCGAGTCTTTTTTCAAACCTCAATAGGTAAAGCAGTGCCTGGTCTGGTTCACGTCTTGTTCGAAGTTGGAATGCCAAATCAAATTTGAAAGAGTTTTGTGTATCGACACGGAGCGATAGACGTGTGTCATGCATTTGATAAGAATGCGAGCTCCTGCTCTCATGATTCATCTCAAACTGCTGCCGATACGAACACGGAAGAATGAGGGAGAAGCATGCAACCTCAAAAACACGCTCGCGTTCCGATAGATTTGACAGAGTAAAAAGACGGCAGGATGGGGATCGATCTGTACTACGACGACCTCAGCCCCTTCTGCAACAGCGTGAGACTCCTTGCCAGGGCGCTGGGCCTGCAACTCGACTTGAAGGAGAGAAACACCGACAAGGATGAGCAGCTCACTCCGGAGTACATCCAGGTATCATAGATCTTTTCTCTTTGGATATTTACTACAGATACATCGACATTGTAAAAGTCTGATTCATTCTCTTTTTCTCGTGCGAAGATGAACCCACAACACACGGTTCCAACCATTAATGACGACGGATACATCATGACCGAAAGGTAAGACAATGGAGATTTCCCTCATAGAAAATGTCAATTATAATTTGACTTTAGAGGGAGAATGTATTGAATTTCAGCCGAGCGATCCTTCGCTACCTGGTCGGAAAATACGGGAAGGACGATAGCCTTTATCCCAAGGACTTGAAGGATAGGGCCATTGTGGATCAGAGGTTGGACTTCGACGCTGGAACTCTCAGTGCCAGATGGCAATTTGTCTGCATGGTTCGTTTCGTTGACTTTCAAGAGGGTACTTATTTTATGGTGGGGAAAAAAACTATATTCGAATGAAGTTGACTGCTTAGCATTGGTAATTACGCATGAAGCATCACTGATGGTACTGGTACTGCAGCATTTTGCCCAGTTCTCAGTCGGAGATTATTTTTTCTCACCCGGACAGTCTTTCACTTGGTCAATTTTTTTTTTGCAGTACCCGGTAGTCAAAGATGGAAAGAAGTCCCTGAACGAGGCGGTGTTGAACAAACTAGATGAAGCCCTGGGAATTCTGGACATTTATATTAAAAAATCTGGAGGCTACGTCGCTGGAAATCATTTAACCATTGCCGACTTCGCGATCGTCGGTCCCGTTTCTTGCATCGAGGTTCGGAAACTGCATCCAAGGAAAAATATCATTCCTGTCTGGAATTCAATTTTTTTTTTCACTTGACCCACCCGCAGATGATGGAGCTTTTGGACGTGTCCAGGCACGAGCACGTGTGGGCGTGGTTGTCGAAATGCAAGGCCGAAATGAACGGCTACGAGGAGGAGAACGGGTGCAAGGTATCCAACAACAAGGAATGGATTCGAAACGCACTGGCGTGAACTCTTCATCGAAGGCGTTTGATCAAATGTCTCATTAAGGATATTAATTCCATTTGTAACGATAAGTCCACGCGGACTCCGGCCGCGACGGGATGGCAATTCATAGTTCCTTGAAATGCATGGCATTCGCCACAAAGCAAAAGTATTTTTCCAATGCAGATACTGAACTTTGTTGGGGGTTCCTTATTTTGTTATCCTTGGTGTTCTCGTGTTCTGGACCCTTTCGTCTGGCATTCGTTGATGATGCAGCTCCGCTAAAAATAACTCATCTACACCAGAGGTGAGTCCGGATTCGGATAATCCGCGGTTCGTATCGGATCCGACGGTGTCAGTGCGGATTTCGGTCGATTTCGGTTAGGAACCGTAGAATTCGAGTCGGATCGGATCGGTCTCGGTTGTGAAACTGTTCCTGCGGATCGGATGCGGTCGGATTTACTCCATTTAAAAAAATCCGGAATAATCCGATAAATCTGCATTGAAATTCTGGGATGAGCCGAAAGACGTAAGAAAGATTGCTCCCTTGCCAATTATGCACTGAGAAAAGAATACCGCAGTCTCTGTGATCCAGAAATATCAATTCCACGTCCAGACAATAGATTTTCATGCGAATGGAGAACGAAGGTATCAGTTCTGCCAACGGAAGGCAAACTTCCTGCTCGAGCCTCTCCCCTCCTATCTTTCAAAAACTTTTTTTTTTAATCCACTGCAGTATTGCGTTGGATTTCTCCGTGCCCAGTGGTCTTTGAGCTCCCGCGGTGTGCACCATTTCAATGCGCTATCGCTCTGCGAACGTACAGGTTTCAGTAGTTATTTAGGATTTTTCCGGATAACCGCGGATCGGATCTGACTCGGTCGAACTCATGCGAGAAAAATTGGATCGACTTCGGTTCGGATTCGGATTTGTTTGCTTCTAACCGGACCGGTTCGGTTCGGTTAGGGTGGAATGCAAGTCGGATTCGGATCGGATCGGACTCGGAAAAGGCAATCCGAACTCACCTCTGATCTACACCGTGCCAACCTCTGATCTACACCGTGCCAACGTTCACTGGAGTTCAGATTGGAAGGGATTTTTTTCAATATGTCGAGTCGAGAAGAAGCGGACGATGATCTATCTGTTCTTGAAAGGGAGCCCTTTTTGCTTGGACGCGATTTGCTGTCAGATATCTCTGACAGGTGATGAATGGAGTTTGATCGAGGGTACACCCTCGTTCCCTCGATCCTCGTTCCCTCGATCCTCGTTCCCTCGATCTCATCGGCTTCCTCAGCCTTTCGACACCCTAGTATTTTCCTTTACCCAAAGCGTCACGCTTTCACTTTGAAGCCCCTCATACGCGCATCTCATTGGATTTATTATGTTACGTTTTGAGGACATGTAATCACTCGTAGGAATCAAACTTTGCAAACAAGGGGTATTTACTTCACTGGTGACTTTTTTTTACTTAAGTCCGGAACGACGCGTGTGAAACGACGCTTTGAGCAACCGAGAACTGCGGACCGTCAATTACTCTCCTTTCTCAACAAAATCCTCATTTCCCCCCCCCCCCTCAGAATGTATGCGATTCTTGGTTCATTTCCTCCCCTCATTTTTAGAGCGACTGACTTACAAGTCACGCATTATGCATAAATAATGCAGCTCTACGCTCAACATGACCTATCCTCATCGCTTCAAATTTAAGATGGAATTTTAAAAGGTTCGCTTTGCAATACCAATCAGGCGGTTTTTTTCCCCCTCCCGCTCCTCCCCAGGTTGTGAGACGAGACAAAGCCAAAGATGATCGACTTCTACTACTTGAACCCGAGCCCCTTCTCCCGGAGCGTGATGCTCACGGCCAAAGCCGTCGGCGTGGAGCTTAACCTCAAGGTGACCAACTTCATGAAGGGGGAAACGAAAACACCGGAGTATCTCAAGGTATCCACCACCTTCGTGCCGTATCGCAAATGAGCTTCGCAGATTGAAATATAAAATTGCGTGCTTCGTTTGTCGACAGATGAATCCCCAGCACACGATTCCGACGATCGACGACGATGGATTCTATCTCTACGAAAGGTACGGGCCAACACGGACTTTTTGAGTCGCGCTGTGGATCATTAACATGCGCAAAGCGATTTTCAACCGTACGTGTTTAAACGCTTTCGTCTCCGAACTATCTTGACTAGTTTCAACGAGTTTTTGCAGGCACAAGCACAATGGACGAGATCGTGTAACATTGAAGTGCAACGAACATCCATGGGATGGTTAAATAGAATCAGAAATTATAATAGTGACCACAAATTTATTGTGCCACCGTGTACTTGCGTTCGTCTCGATGCCCAAGGTGTTTCTTCAAGGTCTGTCGCTCGTAAACGGCTCCAGTAGTTGATGGGTAGTTGATATTGCCAGGAGGAGCATTTGTTAAAATCACTTTTTAGATATAGAAATATTATTTAAACGTCTATGCGTGTAAGGATGAAGGTGATACTCTTATTTACACGTTAATGTGCGTCCCGTTGCGTGCTTTCAGTCGTGCCATCCAGCGCTATCTGGCGAATAAGTACGGGAAGGACGACTCCTTCTATCCGAAGGATCCGAAAGCGAGAGCGGTGGTGGATCAACGGCTGGACTTTGACCTGGGGACCCTCAGCAATTGGTTCATTCAGTACATCGTAGGTCCTGGTTCGAGTCGGTGGGGAGGTGCGGGTGGCCGATCTGTGCGTTTGATTTCGTGTTTTTCGACCTCGTTAAGTTGCCGATACCGATGGGGAAGACGAACGCGATACCCGAAGATGCGAAGCCGAAGTTGGCCGAAATCGTCCAGTTTCTCGATGGATTCATCGAGAAGTCGGGTGGATTCGTGGCGGGAGATAGGATCACGATCGCTGATCATGCCATCGTCGCCATGATCTCCTCCCTCGAGGTACCGAGAACATTGCCTCGATGAAAATCGATCGTGAAAGGACCGTGAGTCTCCACGACGCGGTTTCCTCTGATGGGTTTCAGGCCGCAGAGCTGATGGATCTGTCGCCATACGAGAACGTGACGGCCTGGTTGTCCAAATGCAAGGCCGAGATGGAGGGATACGACGAGGCGTGCGGGCAAGGAGCGGCCCAATTCGGAGCCATGCTCAAGAGCAAATTGGCCCAATGAATGCACACGGGGGTTGCCTTTCTCTTCGCATCGCACTTGGCTCTTTCTGGGGATCGATTCTTTCTTCCAGGGTCTTTGAAAATTTCTTATACGGTGAGGGTCTAAATAGCGCCTTGTTCTTGCTCGTGATTTCAGGTCTTCCATTCTGATTTCTGTCCGTGTCACTAAATTCGTCTCCTGTGGGACTGGTGCAGAGGTTTATTTTTTTATTCCGAACCTTCCCCTGTTCATCGGACCATTAAACCGATCGCAACGCAAGTATAGGGCATCGATAAGATACTTAGAGCATCCTAAACCCTCTAGCTCTAGCTTGAAAATGTTGACTGCTATGCATGACGATCTGCAGTAGCGTGTATTTTGACTGTTTACTGATCGAGAGAACACCAAGAGTTTAGGTGAAGTCAGTTTTAAAATTGCTGATGCCCTATGGTTGCTATTGGCTACACGGTCGTGAGCCAACTGGATTCCACCATAGAAAGGTGGAGGCATGTGCTTCCTCGTCTGATGGCTTCGGTCTCTCATTGCTTCGTGTAACTAAGAATGCTGAGACGACACCAGTCCCGCATCTGGCGAATTTATGAACAAAACCTTCACTTTCATTCAATTTTTTATATCATTTTTTCACTGATTCAGTAAATACAATCGATGCACGCTTGCCAATTGTGATCTTTCAATCGCTGGTGGGTGATGACACTTTCCATTCCTACACAACATTCTCACACTTTATTTCATATTGAAATCTTCGACTTGGTCGCAAGACTTTCTTCTTAGCAAGTACAGTTTCTTGCGGCAGTTTTTAGAGAACTGATTATTTCCAGACGTAGTTCCTCTAGATTAGAAGCTCGACTGGATGCCCTCCAGGCTCTGCTGAACCCATAAATCTTGGCTCTGGAGTCTACTCAGAAGAGTATCCAAGATGACCCACTGCTCTCCTCTTCCGCATCCAATGTAGACCTCAAGGGGGGAGGGGGGGGGGGGGATGAGCAGAAGTCTACGAGCACCAAAGCATATCGTCCAGGGATGTGCAACCCGCGGCCAGCGGGCCGCATGTGGCTCGTGGACCTGCTTCTTGCGGTCCGGTAATGCTTGAAGGGATAACAGATAAAATGAGTTTCTTGGCGGCCCAAGACAAATCAAAACTTTGGTCATCCCTTAGTAACTAAACTAGAAATAGACTGAATCCTTTCCCTGAATCCCTAATTATCCCTCACGCAGGGGCGCTACACATGTCTCGGGGAATAAAGGTTCTCAATGCCATTAATTCAGTGCGTTGGAATTTCCTCGGAGAGGGGCGGGGCCATCGGCCAATCAGCGCGACCTTATGCCCTCATATGCCCTAAGGGCAAAAGAGGGGAGCCTTTCCTTTTCGCATTTCATGGCCCGTGTGAAGAGCCAGACATTTCCATGCGTCCCACT